TATCTGAACACTTAAAATGTGACATTTATTATATGAAAAGTAGTCTTCCATTAAAACAAAATTTTGTGTACCAACATAATGGTAAAAAAATTATAAAATTTTCAAATGTTGCTTTTTGAAATTTAAACATATTTATTCATGCAATTTACAAATATATCAAAATATACAAGGATAACAAAAAGTAAGATCTGGAAACAAGCTGCACACAGCTTATATCAATCTGATTGATTTTTGTAAGTACATATATCCCTGTGATGAGAGTTGTAACTGGGAACTTTAAAGAGGGAAATTTAAAACTGAATTGACTTTTCAGTCCTCACTCTCCTGAGAAATTTGTAATCAATTAAAAATCTTAGAGCATTGTCAAAAAAAATAGAGAATGGCCCTAGCCTGATGTTCAGTGGTACACAATAAAAAAATTTAAAATATATTGTAGTAATTTTTAAATTATAAGAACTCAATTCAATTTTAGATATTTTCTAAAAATAATCCACTAAAGCAGCTGTCACTGTAAAGACATCCTATCTCCGTTCTCTTACTGTATAAAAAGCTGATATAAAAAAAATGTAGGTCTGGCAAAAATTTGATGGGTCTGACAAAACTTGCTACTCTGTAGGCCCCAATGTCTGACAGAAAAAAATAAAATGCTCCGCAGGGCGCAGCTTGATACGACCGCAGAGGTCGAACCCTGAACAGTTGGGGCCAGTATGGACACAACATTCAAGCTTGATACAGCTCTGAATTTGGATTGTGATTAAATATTTGACACAGCATAGGTTTCTGACACAGAATGAATGTGGTCTAAGAACTTAAAAATTTTAAATTGGACATTCACCTATTATGGTCCAATATCCAAAATCTAAATACATGGTTAGATTCAGCATATCAAAGAACCAAAAGAATTCAATTTTTGATGAAATCAAACAAAGTTTAATTTTGGACCCTTTTGACCTCAATGTGGACAAAGTTGATAATGGGGCCCAAAAATCAAAAATCTAAATACATGGTTAGATTCAGCATATCAAAGAATCCCATATATTCAATTTTTGTTGAAATCAAACAAAGTTTAATTTTGGACCCCGATTTGGACCAACTTGAAAACTGGGCCCATAATCAAAAATCTAAATACATGTTTAGATTCAGCATATCAAAGAACCCTAAGAATTCAATTTTTGTTAAAATCAAACTAACTTTAATTTTGGACCCTTTGGACCTTAATGTAGACCAATTTAAAAACGGAACCAAAAATTAAGAATCTAAATACACGGTTAGATTCGGCATATCAAATCACCCCAATAATTCAATTTTTGATGAAATCAAACAAAGTTTAATTTTGGACCCTTTGGACCTCAATGTGGACCAATTTAAAAACGGGGCCCAAAATTCAAAAACTTAATACACGGTTAGAATCAGCATATTAAAGAACCCCAAGAATTCAAGAATAAAACCCCATTGAAATTGGTCAAGAAATAAGCAATTTATACGAAGTATCTTCTTTTGCACAATACTGTGCAATTGAATATTTCTTGCTATTGCTCAATACTGTACAATTGACAATTTCTTGCTATTGCGCAATATTGTGCTATTTGATACTTCTTGCTATTGCACAATACTGTGCAATTTAAGATTTCTTGCTATTGCGCAATACTGTGCAATTGAAGATTTCTTGCTATTGTGCAATACTGTGCAATTGAAAATTTCTTGCTATTGCACAATTAACTTATTATATAATAATTTACACATCCTGTTTGGTGTGTATCTCCTACCATATCATTATTATTTGCTTTTAAATATAAAACAGAAATAACCAACTTAAAATGGAAAATTTTAAAAGAAAAAAAAAGGAAAAAAAGAAAAAAAGGGAAAAAAAAAAAAATCCCCCCCCCCCAATTTTTTGAACCCCCTTATGATTCATCACCCCCAAACTCAATCCCAGCCTTCCCTTTGTGGTATGGTACCTTGCAGTACAATTTCAGAGAGATCCATACACTTGAACACAAGTTATTGTCTGGAAACTAGAAAAATGCTTATTTTTTACCCCTTTTTGGCCCCTTATTCCTAAACGTTTTGGGCAATTACCCCCAAACTCAATTCCAGCTTTCCCTTTGTGATATGGAACCTTGTAGTACAATTTCAGAAAGATCCATACACTTACACACAAGTTATTGTCATGAAACTAGAAAAATGCTTGTTTTTTGCCCCTTTTTGCCCCTAATTCCTAAAATTTGGAGGCAATTACCCCCAAAATCAACCCCAGCATTCCCTTTGTGATATGGAACCTTGTGGTACAATGTCAGAGAGATCCATACACTAACACACAAGTTATGTCTGGAAGTTACAAAAATGCTTATTTTTTGCCCCTTTTTGGCCCCTAATTCCTTAACTGTTGGTACCATAACCCTTAAAACCAATCCCAACCTTCCTTTTGTGGTATTGAACCTTATGGTAAAATTTCAAAGAGATCCATTCACTTAAACTAAAGTTAGAGTGCCAAAACCAATGTGACTTTGGACGACGACGACGACGCCAACGTCATACCAATATACGACCGCGAAAAATGTTTGCGGTCGTATAAAAACTGATTGCATCTCTGATTGTGTATAAGTCTCATAACATTTGGTTGAGGCAAACTAAAGTTAGAGAAGGGAAACAAAAAATTCAGCAATATTTCCATTTGTAAACGGGCATAACTCTAGATCGGTAAAAGTGACGCCACCAAATTTCAAACTTTATCTGTGTTTTGTGGTAATAAGCATTGTGTATAAGATTCATAACATTTAGTTTAGGCAAACTAAAATTAGAGAAAGGAAACCAATTTTGGGACGTATGGACGGACGTACGGACGGACAATGGTAAAACTTAATGCCCCCTCTGCTACAGCAGGGGCATAAAAAAGTTAAAAGGTCAAATAGAGTATGAAATTGAAGAGCATTGAGGATCCAAAATTCTGAAAGGTTTTGCCAAATACAGCTAAGGTAATGTACATGTCTAGAAATATATGTTTATAAGTTGAAATGTGATCAGAAAAGAAATTACATGCTGTTATCTAGAATTAGAGCTTGTTGCATTGTTTTGACATTTGCTCATTGGGTGGTTTTTAGGAAACTTCAAGATTTTTTATTTTAATAAATTGTTGTTGGATTGCTGTCACATTGATATATTTTCCATCTTTTTTGGTTATATTAGACTTATCTTCAAACTTGATAGGATGAACAAATGTCAGAATAATTAACTCAAATAATTTAGTCTTTATAATCATCTGTTTTATGGTAGCTACATAAACACCTGAAAGTATTAAGTCAATGATAAATTGGCAATTAATCTTTCAGAATAAGCTTGGTATTTACCTATCTCAATAACATTAAGCTATTAGCTGATTGGTTCTTCATCCAGACTACCAAAAAAAATCCTGGTTTCATATTGCATGTTTTTATTGAATAAAGAGTTCAGACCCTTGCAAGTGGGAGAGTCTTATCACTAGGAGGGAATGAATTATTCCTGTTAAAGTATAATTTGAAAAATATCATCTAGGTCATTTATTTTATAATATTTTGAATTTCATTGGCCAACAACATTTCCGACCAATTCACAATTATGTGATGGCAGAATAATGGATATGATTAATCAACAATTTTTTACAGGAGTATCACAATAGTTATCTTTGGTGGAGTAGGAACTGCTGACCCTTAACCTTAGAACCTGAGTTCACCCTCAGTTTATGATGTTCAATATTAAATTTGTAGTGTAGTGTTTTCTGGATTTTTTTCTTCTTTTAGCCATGTTTGTTTTTCTTCAACTTCAATATTTTCATTTGTCCTCTTGGTACCTTATTCCTACTTTTTTTTCAAATAAAAAAAGGTACAAATATCAATCTTTCCTGAACTGTACGAAAAACATCCTAGTTCCAACCCAAAATCTCTTGAACATTTTAGTATCATCCAAATTATAAAATTAATCAACTATCTATACTTCTCTTGAGAGAAGTTAATTATGCTCAAATTTACAATAAAGTAACCTTAAATGTAAATTAGGTTTGTCAATCAAGAAAAATCTTTCTTTTCTCCGCAGACAGATTCTGTCCAAACCTAAATCAATTTATCCACACTTCAAATTTATTGTAATTACATGGGTAATCAATGTTATGCAATTCTGATAATTTCATAAAAATATTGACATCTGTCAAATACATCATTATCATCTAAAATGGATCTAGCACTTTATTGTAATAGGCCAAATAATTGAGGAATATGTCAAGCGAGGTCTTTAGGGATTAATGATATGGTTTTAAAACTGTTTATATAAAATGGATATGGAGTTGAAGTTATACATGATCTTCCCATTGGTGCTTTTTCCGTGAAATATTTGGCGTCATAAAGAAAATATCTTCATGTCACAATGTCCTATGACACAAGGTCAACATGTACAGTGACAGTTCATTCATAAAATCGAAATTGGAAACTTGTCTATCTTAACCTGTACTTATCTCTCTGCGCCTGGGATATTTTAGCATCAACCCTGTAATGTCATTTAAGTGTGATCATTTTTGATTGATTGATTGATTGATTGATTGTTGTTTGTTTTATGCACCAGTAGCAAATACTTTTGTATACTTATTGAGGATGTTCGCTACTCTGTTTCAAAATAACAAGCTTTTTAAAACACTGTTATAAATTGGTAGTATATAAATAAAGGAACTATAAAAGCAGAAAAAAATGAAGGGCCTGTGTGCTTGTTTTCGAGATATAAGCAATTGAAAATTTGGCGGGAAATGATTGTCTCTAGATTTTTCATACATTTAACATTGGCACCTTCTTTCTTTCAAAAACTATGAAAAAATAACAAGGATTTAATAAGATTTTCAAAGGTGGCATTTTAAACTATATGTAATCAAATAATGAAAAGAAAAGTAGGCGTTAGTGGGCAAATTTTTTTAATGGCAAGTACTACATGGATAAAGCCAGAGAATTCCGAATATCTGACAAAAAGTCAATAAAATGCTTTGCTGGGTGCAGCTTGATACGACCGCAGAGGTCGAACCCTGAACAGTTGGGGCAAGTATGGACACAACATTCAAGCTTGATACAGCTCTGAATTTGGATTGTGATTAAATATTTGACACAGCATAGGTTTCTGACACAGAAAGAATGTGGTCTAACTTGAATTTTTTTAATTTAACTATTATGGTCCAATGTCCAAAATCAAAATACAAGGTTAGATTCAGCATATCAAAGAACCCCATATATTCAATTTTTGTTGAAATCAAACAAAGTTTAATTTTGGACCCCAACTTGGACAAACTTGAAAACTGGGCCCATAATCAAAAATCTAAACACATGTTTAGATTCAGCATATCAAAGAACCCCAAGAATTCAATTTTTGTTCAAATCAAACTAAGTTTAATTTTGGACCCTTTGGACCTTAATGTAGACCAATTTAAAAAACAGGACCCAAAATTAAAAATCTATATACACGGTTAGATTTGGCATATCAAAGAACCCCAATAATTCAATTTTTGATGAAATCAAACGAAGTTTAATTTTGGACCCTTTTGACCTCAATATGAACCAATTTGATAGCGGGGTCCACAAATAAAAAATCTAAATACATGGTTAGATTCAGCATATCAAAGAACCCCATATATTCAATTTTTGTTCAAATCAAACTAAGTTTAATTTTGGACCCTTTGGACCTTAATGTAGACCAATTTGAAAACTGGACCCAAAATTAAAAATCTAAATACACGGTTAGATTCGGCATAACAAATAAATAAATGTGGTCAAAGAATTTACAAATCTAATGCGCCATACTGTGCAATTAAAGATTATTATACTTCTTGAAATTTTTCAATATTTGAAATTTGAAAAAAAAATAATATTTGAAGAATAATTCTTTTTAATTTCTGAAATCTGAAATGAGAAAAAATTGACCCCCCACAATTTCTTTTTACCCCCCCCCCCCCCCCCCCCTTTTTTCCCCCAAAAAATTCTTTCCCTCAAGATATGGTCATAATCTCAATTCAAATTTCCAATGGAGTTTGCAACCATAATTACCCATTTAAATTTACCATAGTGCTAACTTAATCTATTTTATAATAGAATTTAAAATATAGTGTCAAATCTTTCATATGGATTTTTTTGTAAAAAAAAAAAGATGCAACATTTGCAGATATTTTTACTGGTCTTCCTTTATAAATATGCATTTCTTTAAACATAATTTAAAAGCAGTGTAAGGGAAGTAACCAAAACATTGTATTTGGATTACCTCCCTTAAACTGTTTTAAATTATCTTAATTGTTCATTAACCATTACTTTATACATAATTTAAAAGCACTGTAAGGGAGGTTATTTCAATGAAAACCAATGTGTCTTCGGATGACGAAGACGACGCCGGACGTCGACGACAACGCCAACGTCATACCAATATATGACCGCAAAAAAATAAATAAAAACAAGAGTAGCGATCATCCTTAAGGACGAGAGTAAATTAACAATAATAGGTAGGGGTTCAACACAGGATAAAGATGAAGAATATTCAAAGCCACTGAAAAATGAAGGTATGTTTGGAAAAAGGGCAGAAATATTACACATACATAGGCCACCTACAAATCCCCCAAATAGTTATTGTGAAGGTTCATTAACATGCACAGAGCATGGCACTCTACATGCAACATCAGATTGAACATTCATATTCCAACAGGAAGTGGATGTGTATCTATACAATCCACAAAACCAAAAGGAGTCCTTTCTTAATCAAAAGGTTTACCGCCAGACAGGAGAATTCTGACCATATTTATATACCCCAGTCAATCATTCAGGTTTATAATCTATAAGAAAGTTACTGACATTTTTACTCTCCAATAAAAACAGTGCAAACATTTCTGAAAATTTACAGTGCATATAGATGTGACAGCAACCCATCAACACAAAATATCAAAACAAAAGACATTAATAAAGGATTGATCCTCATCTTTCAAAAATTATCAAACAATTTCTGAATGGTAAAAGACACATTTCTTTAAAAAGAATTTTTGATTTTTTCTATTGTGTACTAATTTTAGCACTAAATCATGCAAAGTATTCATGTGTCAACTTTGTGTTTTAAACCCCAAGATCTGTATAATGACAAAACATCTATCATAATGAAAGAACCTTAGTGAGTGCGCTCACATACCCCACATCCCCACATTGTCATTGGAGAAATAAAATAAGTGTAAGAAAAAAAAATTTTATCAGAAAAAAAAATTGAATCATAATTTCCTGTCAATATGCACATCTACATAGTATGTCCTTATTATCTACACAGTTTCATGAAATTCTGTTGTGTGGTTTGAGAGGAGTTGCGATGACAAAAGGTTGCGAGTATATTGGGCAAATAAGTTCAAAGGGGAGTAACTCCTGGGAAAAAAATTGAATCGTAATTTCCTGTCGATATGCACATCTACGTAGTATGTCCTTATTATCTGAAAAGGTTTCATGAAATTCTGTTGTGTGGTTTGAGAGGAGTTGTGATTACAAAAGGTTGCAGTAGTATATTGGGCAAATAAGTTCAAAGGGGCGTAACTCCTGGAAAAAAAATTGAATCTTAATTTCCTGTCGATATGCACATCTACGTAGTATGTCCTTATTATCTGAAAAGGTTTCATGAAATTTTTAGTGTGTGGTTTGAGAGGAGTTGCGATGACAAAAGGTTGCAGTAGTATATTGGGCAAATAAGTTCAAAGGGGGGTAACTCCTGGAAAAAAAATTGAATCGTAATTTCCTGTCGATATGCACATCTACGTAGTATGTCCTTATTATCTGAAAAGGTTTCATGAAATTATGTCGTGTGGTTTGAGAGAAGTTTCGATGACAAAAGGTTGCAGTAGTATATTGGGCAAATAAGTTCAAAGGGGCGTAACTCCTGAAAAAAAAATTGAATCATAATTTCCTGTCGATATGCACAACTACATAGTATGTCCTTATTATCTAAAAAGGTTTTGTGAAATTCTGTTGTGTGGTTTGAGAGAAGTTGTGATGACAAGAAACAGGACTGACGGACTGACAGACTGACGGACTGACGGACGGATAGACGGGTCAAAAACATTATACCCTCCGCAACTCGTTGCGTGGGGTATAATTATATGATAAAGTGTATATGATATGGCAGTTGTAATATCAAACACAGTATCAACCCTCAACCAATATAAACTAGAGCGCTTGTAGAGAATCATAACCTTTGGCAGGAAAATTGGCAGTCCTAATCAGTTAAGTTTGGAGTAAATAAACATCTGCTACAAGCAGGTTCAAACTCATAACCTTAGTGTTGACTGGTCAGTGATACTACAATTAAACTCCTTTGACCCCTAAGCCGCAGATGCCCATCATCTACAGAGGAAGAGGTACATTTGTCATTATCAAATTGTTTTGGAATCAGAGTTTAACCTGAATAAAAGAAAGTTATCATGGACTGTCCTAATTGGACCCTTTTTACTCATCTTCTATATTTATATTTTCTTCCATCTTTTGCGATAAAGAATAAAATAAGACATTCAAAACTCAAATTTATTTTTAACTTAAGCTTGTTGTTTACAATCAGTCAAACCCATTTCACCCTTTCTGCCAGGCCCAAATAACTCTATTGCAAAGCATAATTTTCCTACGCAACTGTGGTCATTAAAATGTAACCAAGGCTTAATTTGTCATGAATATGCGTCAAGCTTTGATAATAACAGTTAAAGTTTACAGTATATGAGTGTGCTTAAATTTAATTGGATAATTTTCAGTGCAAAAAAGCATGTCCCACCTTTTAACACGCATTTTGGCATGATATGATCAGAGAGAGGTTGTCAACTATGAGGGGCACGTCTGTGTTAACCTTCATATACAAAGATACCCTCCCTTTTCCTGTGTTAGAGGTATCATAAATTGTAGATAAGAGTATTTAATTACTAAATTGAATTTACCTTGAGAATTATCTCCCTTCTCATCTACTTCCTGTTTTTGCAGTGCTTGTTTCTTGCTTTTTATCAGAGCTTCCATTGACTCTTTCTCGTCTGCATTCAGATCCAACCCATTTTCTTTGACCATGACAACATTTTCTGCATCTTCCTGCTCAGTAGCTCCATCTGTTGCTTTTTTGTTTTTTCCTCCTCGTGTCTTTACTCTTTTTTTTCGAACAACTGAAAAATTAAGCATAATATGGGACTTATATGAATAGCATGGATGATGGTAGATTTAAGGGACCTCTGAGGGGAGGAAAGACCTTTTTCAGGATGTCCGAATTGGGTCTTAATTTTTGCGGGAAATCTATTTGGGCCCTTTATTTTCCCAGGAATTCCAGATTAACACCTATCGGAATCAGGAATTAATGATTAATTTTTTCGGGATATGGGAAAGAATGATTTATTTGATTTGAGAATTTGGGATGATACCCCCTCCTTCCACCCCTCACCTCTAGGTCATTACGATACATGTAGATTCTACCACTGCATCAAGTGTGATACAATATTCTTCCACTCGAGATAATAGAAAGTTTTATATTTAAAACACCTGGCTTGTTGAACTTTTAAAATAGAGCTGTTCCTTAAAAACATACATGGTACCCAAGGAAGGCACTTTCCTAAGGGGGTAACCACCTATAGAGGCAAATTTAGAATTTCAATTACATTTCCACTGAACTTGACACCCACCCATAGTAGAGATTTTATAGTGCCTTCCCTTGGTCCCATGTATGCTTTTATGGAACAGCCCATACTAAAAATATAACTGTCTCGAGTGTATTCCGGTGTACCAATGCATGACACAAAATTACTACTAAACATCTGTAAAGAAAAAAAAAATAAAATAAAATAACAGTCCTTTTAGTTTACTATTAAAACCAAATCACCAACATATCATATGCATGAAGAGACTTTAAATTAACTGATATCCAACATCATTAAGTGCCTTTTTTGCTATGACCAATAGCAACAAAGTAGTTCAAGCACAATTAATAATATCATCCCTAAAAGGGAACTTAGGTGTACAAACTGAACCAAGTTTCTCTTAACTAAAGGGTGTGAAACCCTGAAAAGGGTGTCTGTGGTTGTGTACAATATATCAGACATGCATTCTGAAAGAATGTGCTAGCAGGCTGATGATAAGGCTAAATTGTTGTCATGTCTTGATGTTTTTGACAATTGGATGTTGATGGCACTGGTCTTTGATTGTTTCTGTTGAATTCATTTAAAGCTTTTATAAACTTGGGTAATGTATAGCTAGACAAATTTTATAGGCACCTGTCTATTGTTGAAGACTGTACTTTACTCTCTAAATGGCTTTTAGTAATGTTTGTTGTAAAGTTACTGTCTAATATAATTGATGTATGTCCCACATCTACTTTTATTCATATGAACTATGGGCATAATATTGAAACTGTCAGTAAAAACATAGAATGTCTAAATGTTAACAGCTGGCAATGTTTGTTCTACATTTTTTAAAAACGCTTTGAACCAAAAAATGACTGTCAGCCCTAGTGTCAGTCATTTTTTTACCATTCATAACATGACCGATATCTATAGTCTTTTGCTACATTTATCTGGACCGACTCAGTGACTGTGATTTATACCTTTTGAACACAAGGTATTCTTTTGGGAACATTTAAGGACTAATTCTGGCACTAATTAACACAGCATTGTTCCAGGGCTCACACTACTTCAGAATTTTCTCTTTCTCTTTTTGATATTGAGAGGGAGAAGTGGTGAGATTTGAAAGAGAAGTGCTTGTTCGCTCGCGGCGCTACAATGTTTGGTTTTTACTATAATACATTCAGGGCCATATGTATCTTATTTTTTTTATATTGTTCAATTTGTACTTGGTATACAATTTAAGTAACTGTTCAAATTTAAAGTGTTTAATTTTATCATATCTTGTTGCACAATCATATGAGTCCTCTTTTCAGAAAAAACAATTAAATATCTGGCACTAATAGAAAAGATTTATTTTGATATCAAAAAGGAAAAGAAAGTTGTTATATCAATTAAAAAACTACTCTGTTATCATGTTCATGAAACTGAGTATTCCTCATTAAAAAGATATATTAATTTAACAGTTAAGCTCGGACATAATATAATTATATTAGTGTAATACTGTATAGCAGGTTATTTTCGCGGGTGTAAAATTTTGCAACAAAGTATACGAAAAATTTTGGCGGTTTTAATTTTGGTGGATTCTTTAATCTCAATTAAATATTTTGGCTGATACTGAAATGGTTGCAGTTAAAAAGTTGTAAAACTTGTAAAAACAAGGGTCCATTGTTATTGTTGAATGATTGTTATACCTGCATGACGTCTTATTTATTGATTATATTTTGATAAATTAATCAAAAGAATACCGGTACAGTTATTTGTCACAGGTGTACAAACATCTTGTAAATGTTACAGTTGATTAGTTACGAAATTGACTGGACCTTTGATGTACGAATGAGATTATAAAATTATCATGAGTGACTTGCAACTCTTATATAATTTGACACTAATTAATAAGGATAAAATATCTGACAGAGTACCTTACACTCTTATATTATTATTTATTTCATTATGTAACCAAGAAACTAATTAAGACCTGACAGCCAGTGAACAATGGCCTTTGGCTTTTATGTTGTTTAAATTAACATAAACCTTTATTGATCCGTCGAACTCGAAAAAAATAGATAGTACAAAACGCTTTAGCTATTATAAAGAATCGAACGTATGCATAAATTTTCGCGGGATTTATTTTCGCGATTTCCCCTGACCCACCAAAATAAGCGAAAATAAACACCCAGCGAAAATAACCCACTATACGGTAGTCCCAGAGTTGAGCAACTTTAACTTATAAATTGAAACAATGCATATACATGGAAATATATACATTAATCAAGAAGATCTAACCAAAAGTATGTTAATGCGTGTGGAATGCGTAATTTTTCCTTTTGGGATCAATTTTTGTCTGTCAGCAGTGCCATTCATGCGTCTGTAGTCATTATCGTAAAAATCCGGATTTCGGTCATAGCAGGTCCGTTTCCGAAGAAATCCCAACTCTGATCCGTAGTTGTACAATAATATGCCCAATAATTTAAATGGCGGAAAAATTTACAAAAAATAAACGATGTTTGACACACTATTTGGAAAGGAATATATGACGTTTTTAATGCAATACAAGGATAACAAATTTACTTCAGACAAATTTCATCAAGTTCTAATGAAGTAACAACTTATTTTTCCGAAAGTTAGAATGATTTGATGTACGCTCTCCGAGTAACAAGTACCAGAAGAGATAAATAAAATGCTTCGTTGAGCGCAGCCTGATATGACCGCAGAGGTCGAACCCTGAACAGTTGGGGCAAATTTGGACACAATATTCAAGCTTGATACTATCTGAATTTTGGATTGTGATCAAATTTTTGACATAATATAGGTTTCTGACACAAAATAAATGTGGTCAAAGATCTTACAAATCTATTGCGCAATACTGTGCAATTGAAGATTTCTTCTTGAAACTTTTCAAAAATTTGAAAAATTTGAAAAATTTTGAAAAAAAAATATGAATCCTTTAAAAAAATTTGAAACAAAAAATCCCCCCCCCCCCCCCCCAACTTATTGAAACCCCACTAAAAAACACAAGTTATTGTCTGGAAACTTGAAAAATGCTTCTTTTTGGCCCCTAATTCCTACATGTTTGGGACAATTAACCCCAAACTCAATCCCAGCCTTCCCTTTGTTATATGGAACCTTGTGGTACAATGTCTGAGAGATCCATACACTTACACACAAGTTATTGTCCGGAAACTAGAAAAATGCTTGTTTTTGGCCCCTTTTTGGCCCTTAATTCCTAAACTGTTTGCCCCATAACCCTTAAAATAAATCCCAACCTTCTACTTGTGGTATTAAACATTGTGGTACAATTTCAGAGCAATTGAAATACTTATACACAAGTTATTGTCCTGAAACTAGATAAATGCTTGTTTTGGGCCCCTAATTCCTAAACGGTTGGGACCATCATCCCCAAAATCAATCCCAACCTTCCTTTTGTGGTATTGTAACGAAATGTGGGTCCCCTGAAATGGAACTTGTTTCCCCTAAAATTGTGTGATGACGTTGTTTAAATCTTACCGATAATTGACTTTTCTTATTATATATTTCTTGTATAACTATGTTTAAACATTGATAACTCTAAAACTTTTTATCATTCTTGCCTATGTTTTTATAGGAACACCTGTGCATTGTGTACTTAAAATGACGTACAATGACGTCATTACCTATTTTGGTAATCACCAGTTCCGGTTTTGGTAATTTAGGTATTTTCCGAAATGGTAAATGGTAAACCAAATCGGTAAATTGGTTTACCTAAGTATAAATACGGCGGAGAATACAGATAAGTCTTCAGCACGATACTACCCTGGGCAAGTAACACACGTTATATTCCATGCTATTTTGATATACGTACAGATACCATGTACCAGACCAAGTAGTTAACCAGACAGCCAACACTATTACAATGTCAGAGGAGACGACGTCCGTATAATGTGGGTTTGTTAATTCCTTTCCAAGTTGCATTTAGAGAATAACTTCTCGAGAGAAACTTTATCTTTTTGCATTGAATTTGATTTACCATTTGCCGATTACCAAACTACAATTAGTAAACTTTCTGGGGATATTTTTTTTCCGCTATCCATTTTCTTTAATTCACGATAAAAGGTTAATAAAGTATTTATCTGTAAGTCTAAAATACTGTTAAGTTATTTAATATTTATATGTATTGTTGATATTTAATACATCTTAAAGTTAATACAAGTTGAGTTTTATTTAACGAGTCTGTTATTCTTACAAACATCGAGAGTTACCATACAAAAACCTATACTCCAATCTACACTTTTATATCAGAGTCATTACCTTACCAGAGGAACCAAACCTTACCAGTGTGTATTCAGAATACCAGAGTACCACATAGTACCACGATACCAGAGTACCACATAGTAACACGATACCAGAGTCCACGCTACCCAATAAGAGTCACCAGATATAACTTTTATTTTTTTATATACTCGTTCATTCTAACATAACACATTCTTATAGCAACGCACTAAGGGATAAACATTTATAGTTTAACACTAAGGCCCGACCGCTCGGTTTTCGTTACAGTGGTGGCAGCGGAGGCACGTACCTACATTTCAAGTTATATTCTTTAAATAAGTGTAATATTCAAGATAAGGAATAAATAAATATAAATAAAATGGATAGCGCGGAAAATAAATTTGAAACACCTAGGTTAACTGCCCAGGGTAGACCAGTGCTCCCCCGATCTCGGTCCTGTGAAATTTTCCATGATCTGACGCCGACCGGAGAGATAGGCATAAGAGTGAACCAAGATCAATGGCCCTCACAAGAGAATACGAATAGATACGAAAAGGATGGTATACATCATACTGACAATAGGCCATTGTCAGGGGATCTATCACCATCAAGGAAAGTGGCCATTGACCAAGCGAAAAACCCGGAAGTTTCAAATAGGGCAACGGTTGTGCATTTGAAAAAAAATGCAGCGCGTACGGTAAAACAGAATTTTGGTGAAGAGTCAAGGACTCTTTTGGACCATGCTGCCAGAGGGTCTAGGTATGGGTTTTGGAGTCAGAAAGCAAGGGATACTGCTGAGGGAGACTCCGGGAATACAAGACGAGGCGCGACGTCTTGTGAATCCGATGCCCGACGGGGTAGATAGGATTCGGGAGATTTACCTAGGACTTTGGACCGGGGCGTACCCCATAATCAGGGGGCAACGTACCAAGCATTACCTTTGACGTCCCGCGGACGATTCAGAGTGGGGGTTAACGGGACCGACCATGAACACCGTACTGATGAAATGACCAGTAATACAAATTATGCTGGCATTAGCAATGAACAAAATTTTGAGCGTGATTATGATTTAAACTTACAAAAATACAAAATATTACAAAAAGAAATCTGCACTTTATGATGGTGAAAGTAATTGGGAAGACTATTTAGTTCAGTTTGAATTAATTGAAGCAATTAACAAATGGTCTGACATAGAGAAAGCTTTAGAACTAGCTACTAGCTTAAGAGGTACCGCCCAAAGTATTTTAACCGATTTAAGACCAGAGATGCGGACCAATTTTATACAACTGACAGCCGCCTTAGCGTCTCGTTTTCAACCAGAAAACCAAGCAGAAATGTACAGGGCGCAAATGAAAAATAAAATACGCGGACGCACGGAACAAATACCTGAGTTAGGCCAAAACATAAAACATCTAGTAAGATTAGCGTATCCATCAGCTCCGATAGAGATTAAAGAACAATTAGCATGCGATTGTTTTATTGATTCCCTAAATGATGTTGACATGGAATGGGCTATTTTCAAGGCCAAAGCAAAAAGTATTAATAACGCTATTCAAATTGCTCTTGAATATGAAGCATTCCAAAATGACAGACGTAAACACGGCACTAAGCTAGTTTGTGCTGTAAATGAAAATGATAATTTTGATCTAAATAGGAAAACTTATTTGTCTGAACAAGTGGATGACATTTCAGGTCGTCTTGCAAAAATAGAAAATAATAGAAAAAAATAAGAAAACTTTTTCTTGTTACCATTGTGGGGTTTCCGGTAATTAAAAGGGAATGTCTCCTATTGAATAACCGATCCCAAAGGTTAGAAGGTAACAGAAATAAAAACTTAATTCCAAGAAAAATGGCAGACCAAATGTCTGGTCGGGGAAACTATTAGTGGCTGAAACTGAGGACCAAGTTTCAGCCGAAACTAAATATGATTTTGAAGAATCCAATAATTTTGAAAAATTGAATCAGATAAATATTTTCTGAAAGAATATATGTACATTTTGTAATTGTCACTGTTATGACATGAAATTGAATTGTTTGATTGGTCCACTGTTAGTGTCCTTAACTCATCCATGTATAATATCATGTCCAAGAGTGTAAAGCCAGTGTTGTCCAATGCACGTAGTGGTTTTCGCATGGCTAATGGAAGTGTAGTTATGTCGATGGGGACTGCTGAATTACCAACGCAGTCGGATAATAAAATTGTGTATCACCGTCTCATTGTTGCAGACATAGATATACTTGTACCAAGGATTATTTAGTTTGATTTTTAAAGATAAAAGTCCATATATATTGTATAAGGGAAAGAGTATTTTTTTCAAATTGACGTTTAATTTATTTCAGATTTTTATTAATATTGCTTACATTTATTGAATGTTTAAATATGTAACTTATTTTCAGGAAATTCAATTGTACAATTGTCTTTTATGAACATTCGTCCCGCTGAGAATATTTGATGGTACTCTATAAACATTCGTCAAAATACACAGAATAAGTTCTGATGTAAGAACATTCATCACGCGAAGAAGATGTGTTAGTGCTTTATGAACATTCGTCAAGTGAAAAAGATATATATGTCGGTGCTCTATAAACTAAAACATTCGTCAAAATAAACAGAACTTGTGTTTTATGAACAATCTTTATGAGAAGAAGCGATGTTGGTGCTATATGAACATTTACAAGACTAAAGGATCATAAAGAACAGTGCGGAATTCAAGCTTTTCGTGGAGACGTATATGAACAATGAACATTCCAAAGATTAATTAAATTTGATTAAATAATGTTTTATAATGTTGAATATGTATGTTAGAGAATATTTTAATGAATGATATTGGAGAACTTGTTTTAAATTTTAGGAAATGCCTATTCATGTTTGGGGACAAACATTATTTTTCAAAGGTGGGGAGAGTGTAACGAAATGTGGGTCCCCTGAAATGGAACTTGTTTCCCCTAAAATTGTGTGATGACGTTGTTTAAATCTTACCGATAATTGACTTTTCTTATTATATATTTCTTGTATAACTATGTTTAAACATTGATAACTCTAAAACTTTTTATCATTCTTGCCTATGTTTTTATAGGAACACCTGTGCATTGTGTACTTAAAATGACGTACAATGACGTCATTACCTATTTTGGTAATCACCAGTTCCGGTTTTGGTAATTTAGGTATTTTCCGAAATGGTAAATGGTAAACCAAATCGGTAAATTGGTTTACCTAAGTATAAATACGGCGGAGAATACAGATAAGTCTTCAGCACGATACTACCCTGGGCAAGTAACACACGTTATATTCCATGCTATTTTGATATACGTACAGATACCATGTACCAGACCAAGTAGTTAACCAGACAGCCAACACTATTACAATGTCAGAGGAGACGACGTCCGTATAATGTGGGTTTGTTAATTCCTTTCCAAGTTGCATTTAGAGAATAACTTCTCGAGAGAAACTTTATCTTTTTGCATTGAATTTGATTTACCATTTGCCGATTACCAAACTACAATTAGTAAACTTTCTGGGGATATTTTTTTTCCGCTATCCATTTTCTTTAATTCACGATAAAAGGTTAATAAAGTATTTATCTGTAAGTCTAAAATACTGTTAAGTTATTTAATATTTATATGTATTGTTGATATTTAATACATCTTAAAGTTAATACAAGTTGAGTTTTATTTAACGAGTCTGTTATTCTTACAAACATCGAGAGTTACCATACAAAAACCTATACTCCAATCTACACTTTTATATCAGAGTCATTACCTTACCAGAGGAACCAAACCTTACCAGTGTGTATTCAGAATACCAGAGTACCACATAGTACCACGATACCAGAGTACCACATAGTAACACGATACCAGAGTCCACGCTACCCAATAAGAGTCACCAGATATAACTTTTATTTTTTTATATACTCGTTCATTCTAACATAACACATTCTTATAGCAACGCACTAAGGGATAAACATTTATAGTTTAACACTAAGGCCCGACCGCTCGGTTTTCGTTACAGTATTGAACCTTTTAAAAAAATTTTTCATAGAGATCCATTCACTTAAACTAAAGTTATTGTCCGGAAACAAATGTGTCTTCGGACGACGACGCAGACGACGCAGACGACATCATACCATTATACTATCCCAAAAATGTTTTTGCGGTCGTATAAAAATTGTTTTTATGAAATAACATGCCAACAACTTTGAAATCAATGCTTTAACCTCTTTTCTGAAGAAAATAAATCGTTTATGCCTTGAATTTCTTTACTTTTAAATGATTTTTCATTGTCTTGGTAAAAATTGAATATTGCCGATGACGAAAGCGACTGAAAGAGAGTATCATAAACCACAGGGTGAATTGTTTTCGCTTTTGAGGGTCGGGCAAAGCGAAGTAAAGGACGGGAAAGCGACTTCTTCGCCCTGGTAGCGTGATCCCTGATTGTCCTTAACAGTCCTCAAAACAGACTTCAATGTTCCCAGTAACTGCCAGTCCTGTTTACAAAAAACTGTGGCCATCACATACATTTGTGAATAGTTATACTTGACCAGAAAATAATTCTACTTGGACAAACAGCTCTTTTTTCTTTTTCAGTGAAATGGGTAGTTCGGATGCAGATTGACACCTAAATGTCCGTACAAATTACAAACAAGAGGCATACTGGTACCCCACTCATTAGTCACAAATTACAAACAAGAGGCATACTGGTGCCCCACTCATTAGTCACAAATTACAAACAAGAGGCGTACAGGTACCCCACTCATTAGTCAAAATATCTGAAAACTGGAAGTGGTGGTCTGACAGCTCCAAAAAGTACTCTTAGATTACAGAATATGATTATTTAAAGCAAAGCTCCTGACCAAACATGAAGTAGTCTTGTTACCACTACTTAAGATATATGTTGGACAAACAGATGGACTACAATGATGCAAAACAGACCCTACTCCTAGAGTGGGGTATGAAAAATAAGTTTAAAACATATGAAAGAGGCATTCAACATCAGGGCCAAAGAGAAAAATAGAAAATGACATACAAGTAGTCCACAAAACAGGACACAGAAAACATTCACATTGAGTAACCTTAAACGTACCAAACATCATGGAGGACCCTGGTGTCCCCGTAGAGTAAGTACTTCATGTCTCACTAAAATCTTACCATTTGTTTCAGATGGTAGGTGATCTGTAAACCTCCATTTATGGAAAGAAAAATCCTCTCCCCCTGTAAACACAACATCCTTTTCCTGACCACTCCACTGTACAGTGAGTAACCTCCCCTTGTGTCCACGGTAACATGCTAACATCTGTTCTGTTTCAATGCTCCATACCTTAAACAAATAATGAATTATTATTTTTTAATTTTTTTTTTGTAAGAATGTGAAAGATGCTAATTATCCATAAATAGGATAATAGCAATTATGTAAAAAACAGGAATTCTGTAGAAAACTGAAAATATATAGACTGATAAGGTACTCCCATTTTCAAGGAACTGTAATGCAGAGCTATATAACTACAGGAACTGTGAGCAAAGCCCACAAAATTATACCCCAATTCTTGCAAAGTTCATGATTTACTAAGGGAAACCAAAACTAGAGGCTCTAAAGAGCCTGTGTCACTCACCTTGGTCTATGTGCATATTAAACAAAGGACACAGATGGATTCATGACAAAATTGTGTTTTGGTGATGGTGATGTGTTTGTAGATCTTACTTTACTAAACATTCTTGCTGCTTACAAATATCTCTATCTATATTGAACTTGGCCCAGTAGATACAGTGGAAAATATTTTGTAAAAATTTACAAAAATTTACAAAATTTATGAAAATTGTAAAAAATTGACTATAAAGGGCAATAACTCCTTAAGGGGTCAATTGACAATTTTGGTCAGGTTGACTTGATTGTAGATCTTACTTTGCTGAACATTATTGCTGTTTACAGTTTATCTCTATCTATAATAATATTCAAGATAATAACCAAAAGCTGCAAAATTTTCCTAAAATTACCAATTCAGGGGCAGCAACCCAACAACGTGTTGCCTGATTGGTCTGAAAATTTCAGGGCAGATAGATCTTGACCTAATGAACAATTTTCTACTGTCAGATTTGCTCTAAATTCTTTGGTTTCAGAGATATGAGCCAAAAACTGCATTTTACCTTATGTACTATTTTTTAGCCATGTCGGCCATCTTGGTTCGTGGGCGGGGTCATCGGACACATTTTTTAAACTAGATACCCTAATGATGATTGTGGACAAGTTTGGTTAAATTTGTCTTAGTAGTTTCAGAGGAGAAGATTTTTGTAAAAGATTACAAAAATTTACGAAAAATGGTTAAAAATTGAATATAAAGGGCAATAACTCCTTAAGGGGTCAACTGACCATTTTGGTCAAGTTGACTTGATTGTAGATCTTACTTTGCTGTACATTATTGCTGTTTACAGTTTATCTCTATCTATAATAATATTCAAAATACTAACCAATAAAATGCTTCGCTGGGGCGCAGCTTGATACGACCGCAGAGGTCGAACCCTGAACAGTTGGGGCAAGTATGGACACAACATTCAAGCTTGATACAGCTCTGAATTTGGATTGTTATTAAATATTTGACACAGCATAGGTTTCTGACATAGAAAGAATGAGGTCTAAGAACTTGAATTTTTTTAATTTACCTATTATGGTCCAATGTCCAAAATCAAAATACATGGTAAGATTCAGCATATCAAAGAACCCCATATATTCAACTTTTGTTAAAATCAAACAAAGTTTAATTTTGGACCCCAACTTGGACAAACTTGAAAACTGGGCCCATAATCAAAAATCTAAACACATGTTTAGATTCAGCATATCAAAGAACCCCAAGAATTCAATTTTTGCTAAAATCAAACTAAGTTTAATTTTGGACCCTTTGGACCTTAATGTAGACCAATTTAAAAAATGGGACTTAAAATTAAAAATCTAAATACACGGTTAGATTTGGAATATCAAAGAACCCCAATAATTCAATTTTTGATGAAATCAAACAAAGTTTAATTTTGGACCCTTTTGACCTCAATATGAACCAATTTGATAGCGGGGCCCACAAATGAAAAAATCTAAATACATGGTTAGATTCAGCATATCAAAGAACCCCATATATTCAATTTTTGTTGAAATCAAAAAAAGTTTAATTTTGGACCCCAACTTGGACCAACTTGAAAACTGGGCCAATAATAAAAAATCTAAACACATGTTTAGATTCAGCATATCAAAGAACCCCAAGAATTCAATTTTTGTTAAAATCAAACTAAGTTTAATTTTGGACCCTTTGGACCTCAATGAAGACCAATTTAAAAAACGGGACCCAAATTAAACATCTAAAACACGGTTAGATTTGGCATATCAAAGAACCCCAATAATTCAATTTTTGATGAAATCAAACAAAGTTTAATTTTGGACCCTTTTGACCTCAATATGAACCAATTTGATAGCGGGGCCTACAAATAAAAAATCTAAATACATGGTTAGATTCAGCATATCAAAGAACCTCATATATTCAATTTTTGTTGAAATCAAACAAAGTTTAATTTTGGACCCCAATTTGGACCAACTTGAAAACTGGGCCCATAATCAAAAATCTAAATACATGTTTAGATTCAGCATATCAAAGAACCCCATATATTCAATTTTTGTTGAAATCAAACAAAGTTTAAATACTGGACCCTATCTTGGACCAACTTGAAAACTGGGCCCATATTCAAAAATCTAAACACATGTTTAGATTCAGCATATCAAAGAACCCAAAGAATTCAATTTTTGTTAAAATCAAACTAAGTTTAATTTTGGACCCTTTGGACCTTAATGTAGACCAATTTAAAAAACAAGACCCAAAATTAAAAATCTAAATACACAGTTAGATTTGGAATATCAAAGAGCCCCAATAATTCAATTTTAGATGAAATCAAACAAAGTTTAATTTTGGACCCTTTTGACCTCAATATGAACCAATTTGATAACGGGGTCCAAAAATAAAAAATCTAAATACATGGTTAGATTCAGCATATCAAAGAACCCCATATATTCAATTTTTGTTGAAATCAAACAAAGTTTAATTTTGGACCCCAATTTGGACCAACTTGAAAACTGGGCCAAAAATCAAAAATCTAAATACATGTTTAGATTCAGCATATCAAAGAACCTCATATATTCAATTTTTGCTAAAATCAAACAAAGTTTAATTTTGGACCCTTTGGACCTTAATGTAGACGATTTTGAAAACTGGACCCAAAATTAAAAATCTAAATACACTGTTAGATTCGGCATAACAAATAAATAAATGTGATCAAAGATTTTACAAATCTAATGCGCCATACTGTGCAATTAAAGATAACTTCTTGAAATTTTTCAATATTTGAAATTTGGAAAAAAAATAATATTTGAAGAATAATTCTTTTTAATTTCTGAAATCTGAAATGAGAAAAAAATTGACCCCCCACAATTTCTTTTTATCCCCCCCCCCCCCCTTTTTCCCCCAAAAAAATTCTTTCCCTCAAGATATGGTTATAATCTCAATTCAAATTTCCAATGGAGTTGGCAACCATAATTACCCATTTAAATTTACCATAGTGCTAACTTAATCTATTTTATAATAGAATTTAAAATATAGTGTCAAATCTTTCATATGGATTTTTTTGTAAAAAAAAATGATGCAACATTTGCAGATATTTTTACTGGTCTTCCTTTATAAATATGCATTTCTTTAAACATAATTTAAGAGCAGTGTAAGGGAAGTAACCAAAAGGTATTTGGATTACCTCCCTTACACTGTTTTAAATTATCTTTATTGTTCATTAACCATTACTTTATACATAATTTAAAAGCAGTGTAAGGGAGATAATTTCAATGATGTATTTGATTTATCTCCCTTACACTGCTTTAAATTATGTTTTGTATTTGTATTTGTCCATTAACCAGGACAACCTTGTTTTTCCCCCTTTTTTGCCCCTTATTCCTAAACGGTTTGAGCCATAACCCCCCAAAGCAAATCCTAACCATCCCTTTGTGGTATGGAAACTTGTAGTATAATTTCAGAGAGATCCATACACCGTTCCACAGTTATTGTCTGGAAACTAGAAAATGCTTATTTTTGGCCCCTTTTTGACCCCTAATTCCTTAACTGTTGGTACCATAACCCCCAAAATCAATCCCAACCTTCCTTTTGTGGTATTTAACCTTATGGTAAAATTTCAAAAAGATCCATTCACTTAAACTAAAGTTAGAGTGCGAAAACCAATGTGTCTTCGGACGACGACGCTGGACGACGACGACGACGACGACGACGACGACGACGACGCCAACGTCATACCAATATACGACCACAAAATTTTTTTGCGGTCGTATAAAAACTGCAAAATTTTCTTAAAATTACCAATTTAGTGACAGCAACCCAACAACAGAATCTCCGATTCATCTGAAAATTTCAGGGCAGATAGATCTTGACCTGATAAACAATTTTACAACATGTCAGATTTGCTCTAAATGCTTTGGTTTCAGAGATATAAGCCAAAATCTACATTTTACCCCTATGTTCTATTTTTAGCCATGGCGGCCATCTTGTTTGGTTGACCGGATCACCGGACACATTTTTTAAACTAGATACCCCAATGATGATTGTGACCAAGTTTGGTTAAATTTGACCCAGTAGTTTCAGAGGAGAAGATTTTTGTAAAAGTTAACAGACAACGCCGGATGACGACGACGACGACGGACGACGGATGCAGAGTGATGAGAAAAGCTCACTTGGCCCTTCGGGCCAGGTGAGCTAAAAATAATTCAGAAAAAAAACTAAAAAAATATGCGTACAATGGCACTATATAATGTAAAGAATCTGAGAAGGTTTTATTTAAATTATGATTGGGGGTTAAGGAGGAGAAATAGAATACAAATATGTACTTTATTGTAAAGACATGTAAACCCTAAAAATTATGCAGATGCAAAAATGAAATTGAAGATGCAAAATTCAACATATAAGATTCTGTGAAGGTTTCTCCAAATTTTGTCAAGGGGTTCAAGAGCAGTTGCGGATACAAATGTTGGACTGAAGGATGAATGAACTAAGCTTCCCTATATACAGCCCACTTTAGAAAGCATGAAGTATAATAACAAATTGTACTACACCAGTACCGACTCAAGTTACTGTAAATTCAGAAATTATTGCGAGGTTTTTATTAATGCGAAAAAATGCAACTTGGTGACTATCGCAACATGAGGCTCTCAAGAGTCTGAATCACTCACCTGTAATTTTTTGCTTAAATCTTTCATCAATGATTATTTTTGCTTTTCAATATATATAAATGAATGGCTTAAAACTTCCATTGAAATGTTCTTTGTATCTGTCATATTTTCTTCAAAATCAAAGAAATGCATTTTACCCCTATGTTTCATTTTAGCCATAGTGGCTATGTTTCTTGACGTACAAGAAAATAAAATACAAAATTTATACTAGATACTCTGAAACTCATTCAGCCCAAGTTTGGCTGAAATTGATTCAGCAGTTTAAAAAAAGAAGATTTTTTAAAGTAAGCAAACTAAATGAACAAAATGTGAAAAAATGATTTTAAAGGGCAATAACTCCTTAAGGGGACATTTGACAATTTAGGTCATACAAACTTTTTTGTAGATCTTACTTTGCTGAACATTTTTGCTGTTTACAGTTTATCTTTATCATTAATAATATTCAAGATAATAACCAAAATCTGCAAAATTTCCTTAAAATTACCAATTAAGAGGCAGCATTCCAACAATGGGTTGTTAGATTCATCTGAAAATTTCAGGGCTGAAAGCCATTGGCCTAATAAACATTTTTACGTCCATCAGATTAGCTCTAAATGCTTTGCCTTTGGTTTTTGAGATATAAGCCAAAAATTGCATTTTACCCCTAATTTCTATTTTTAGCCATGGCGGCCATGTTATTTTACGAAACAGAAAATAAAACACAAACTTTATTCTAGATACCCTTAGAATCATTCAGCTTAAGTTTGGTTGGAATTGGTTCAGTAGTTTCAGAGGAGAAGATTTTTTAAAGTTAGAAAACATGATAAACAAATTGTGTAAAATTGTCCTTTAAGGGCAATAACTCCTTAAGGGGTCAATTGACAATTTTGATCATAGAACTTATTTGTAGATCTTACTTTGCTGAACATTTTTGCTGTTCACAGTTTATCTTTATCATTGATAATATTCAAGATAATAACCAATAAAATGCTTCGCTGGGGCGCAGCTTGATACGACGGCAGAGGTCGAACCCTGAACAGTTGGGGCAAGTATGGACACAACATTCAAGCTTGATACAGCTCTGAATTTGGATTGTTATTAAATATTTGACACAGCATAGGTTTCTGACACAGAAAAAATGTGGTCTAAGAACTTGAATTTTTTTAATTTACCTATTATGGTCCAATGTCCAAAATCAAAATACATGGTTAGATTCAGCATATCAAAGAACCCCATATTTTCAATTTTTGTTGAAATCAAACAAAAGTTTAATTTTGGACCCCAACTTGGACCAACTTGAAAACTGGGCCCATAATCAAAAATCTAAACACATGTTTAGATTCAGCATATCAAAGAACCACGAGAATTCAATTTTTGCTAAAATCAAACTAAGTTTAATTTTGGACCCTTTGGACCTTAATGTAGACCAATTTAAAAAACGGGACTTAAAATTAAAAATCTAAATACACGGTTAGATTTGGAATATCAAAGAACCCCAATAATTCAATTTTTGATGAAATCAAACAAAGTTTAATTCTGGACCCTTTTGACCTCAATATGAACCAATTTGATAGCGAGGCCCACAAATAAAAAATCTAAATTCATGGTTAGATTCAGCATATCAAAGAACCCCATATATTCAATTTTTGTTGAAATCAAAAAAAGTTTAATTTTGGACCCCAACTTGGACCAACTTGAAAACTGGGCCCATAATCAAAAATCTAAACACATGTTTAGATTCAGCATATCAAAGAACCCCGAGAATTCAATTTTTGTTAAAATCAAACTAAGTTTAATTTTGGACCCTTTGGACCTCAATGAAGACCAATTTAAAAAACGGGACCCAAATTAAAAATCTAAAAACATGGTTAGATTTGGCATATCAAAGAACCCCAATAATTCAATTTTTGATGAAATCAAACAAATTTTAATTTGGACCCTTTTGACCTCAATATGAACCAATTTGATAGCGGGGCCCACAAATAAAAAATCTAAATACATGGTTAGATTCAGCATATCAAAGAACCTCATATATTCAATTTTTGTTGAAATCAAACAAAGTTTAATTTTGGACCCCAATTTGGACCAACTTGAAAACTGGGCCCAAAATCAAAAATCTAAATACATGTTTAGATTCAGCATATCAAAGAACCCTATATATTCAATTTTTGTTGAAATCAAACAAAGTTTAAATACTGGACCCTATCTTGGACCAACTTGAAAACTGGGTCCATAATCAAAAATCTAAACACATGTTTAGATTCAGCATATCAAAGAACCCCAAGAATTCAATTTTTGTTAAAATCAAACTAAGTTTAATTTTGGACCCTTTGGACCTTAATGTAGACCAATTTAAAAAACAGGACCCAAAATTAAAAATCTAAATACACGGTTAGATTTGGAATATCAAAGAACCCCAATAATTCAATTTTAGATGAAATCAAACAAAGTTTAATTTTGGACCCTTTTGACCTCAATATGAACCAATTTGATAACGGGGTCCACAAATAAAAAATCTAAATACATGGTTAGATTCAGCATATCAAAGAACCCCATATATTCAATTTTTGTTGAAATCAAACAAAGTTTAATTTTGGACCCCAATTTGGACCAACTTGAAAACTGGGCCAAAAATCAAAAATCTAAATACATGTTTAATTCAGCATATCAAAGAACCTCATATATTCAATTTTTGCTAAAATCAAACAAAGTTTAATTTTGGACCGTTTGGACCTTAATGTAGACCAATTTGAAAACTGGACCCAAAATTAAAAATCTAAATACACTTTTAGATTCGGCATTACAAATAAATAAATGTGATCAAAGATTTTACAAATCTAATGCGCCATACTGTGCAATTAAAGATTACTTCTTGAAATTTTTCAATATTTGAAATTTGAAAAAAAAATAATATTTGAAGAATAATTCTTTTTAATTTCTGAAATCTGAAATGAGAAAAAATTGACCCCCCACAATTTCTTTTTATCCCCCCCCCTTTTTTCCCCAAAAAAATTCTTTCCCTCAAGATATGGTCATAATCTCAATTCAAATTTCCAATGGAGTTGGCAACCATAATTACCCATTTAAATTTACCATAGTGCTAACTTAATCTATTTTATAAAAGAATTAAAAATATAGTGTCAAATCTTTCATATGGATTTTTTTGTAAAAAAAAAAGATGCAACATATGCAGATATTTTTACTGGTCTTCCTTTATAAATATGCATTTCTTTAAACATAATTTAAAAGCAGTGTAAGGGAAGTAACCAAAACGTTGTATTTGGATTACCTCCCTTACACTGTTTTAAATTATCTTTATTGTTCATTTACCATTACTTTATACATAATTTAAAAGCAGTGTAAGGGAGATAATTTCAATGATGTATTTGATTTATCTCCCTTACACTGCTTTAAATTATGTTTTGTACTAAAGTATTTGTCCATTAACCACCACAACCTTGTTTTTCCACCTTTTTTGCCCCTAATTCCTAAACGGTTTGGGCCATAACCCCCCAAAGCAAATCCTAACCATCCCTTTGTGGTATGGAAACTTGTAGTATAATTTCAGAGAGATCCATACACCGTTCCACAGTTATTGTCTGGAAACTAGAAAATGCTTATTTTTGGCCCCTTTTTGGCCCCTAATTCCTTAACTGTTGGTACCATAACCCCCAAAATCAATCCCAACCTTCCTTTTGTGGTATTTAACCTTATGGTCAAATTTCAAAAAGATCCATTCACTTAAACTAAAGTTAGAGTGCGAAAACCAATGTGTCTTCGGACGACGCATCGCCAACGTCATACCAATATACGACCACAAAATTTTTTTGCGGTCGTATAAAAACTGCAAAATATCCTTAAAAATACCAATTTAGTGGCAGCAACCCAACAATGGGTTATCAGATTCAACTGAAAATTTCAGGGCTGATAGAACATCTCCTAATGAACACTATAACCCCTGTCAGATTTGCTCTAAATTCTTTGGTTTTTGAGATATAAGCCAAAAACTGCATTTTACCCCTATGTTCTATTTTTAGCCATGGCAGCCATGTTATTTGACGAAACAGTAAATAAACCACAAACTTTATTCTAGATACCCTAAGCATCATTCAGCTTAAGTTTGGTTGGAATTGGTTCAGTAGTTTCTGAGGAGAAGATGTTTGAAATAGTTTACACCAGACAGACGACGACGGACGACGATGATGGAACGGTGAGCCAATAATTAGAACTCACATTCTGATATCTGATACATATAACTGTATGCAGATTTTTCTGAAATCACAATAATTAAACTTGCAGTTTTGTCCTCAAGTCAACAATTGCAATAATAAATGCACCCAATAATTTCTGAATTTACAGTACAGGTATTTAAATTACATCAAAATATCCAATGCAAAAAAATATGAATATGTATTACCAATAAGGGGTAATCTATCCTACCCAAACTGTGATTAGAAACCAATGGCACTATCACAGTGCCAACTTCCAGTATCTTAAAGGGGCATTTTTGTGAATACTTGAAGTTGTTGGTTTCAACAAATTCTGCATATAAGCTTATAAGAAATATGCATTTTGTTGAATACTCAATTTAGCCTTTCACTTACATCCATGAAATCCAAGAAAATATTCACCCCATGACTGATCATGAATCCATGGTAGTCAATATTTTCCCTTGAGCTTGATTTTAAATACCCATCAATACCCTTACCCTTTAGTCCTCACTTTATATGCAATATCCACTTCATGACTGATAAAAAACCACAGCCGCCAATATTTCTACTTTTCCCTTAAGCTTGATTCAAACACCCGTCAATATCCCTGCTCCCTTATTAGTCATCACTGTATATGTTACCATGGAGCTACACAGATATTGCTGTGTCAACTTAAAGACTAAGAATAATAACTCCCAGAAAAACTTAATGTGGTACATAACACTACAGGGAGATAACTCTGTAAACATCAGCTGAACATTTTCATCACGTTCTATCATTAAGGAACTATTAAGCTTCTCAATGATCAAAATTAGTGTTTATCAAACTGCTATACATCTAATGAAATTTTTTTTGATAAAGTGTGTGTTTCAATTTTTTTTTGAAATTTTTATATTTTTGTCAAAATTTTATGAAAATTAAACGAGCCAAATTAATTTTAGTCAAGGTGTTTGGTACCAACTTAAAGTAGACAACACCTCCACACTTCAATATCCTTGACTACTTAGTACTAACCATTGCCTGTCCATCATAGGACGATGATGCTATGAATCCATCACAGTGTGTACTCCACGACAGACCGGTAATTCTGTGACAGTGACCTCTCAAGGACTTCCACGGTTCAGTTATAATCAGGAGTTCTTTTCCATCTTTATCTGCTTCTGAAAATAGTAAAATATAAATAACTTGAAATCTTTGTTTATTTAAATACTTTCCCAAATCCTTTGTTTATTCATGGCTTTATAGTTGTGCAATTCATCTATACCTCATCTATAATATTGAAGCTCTTTTCTGTCCTTTAATTGTCAATGATGCAGTATTGGAAAATAAAACCATGCATGATTATATCAAATATTTTTTTTTTTGTATAGAAAAGAAAAAACACCAACGATGACTTCTAATTGCTTGTACTTCTATATCATTTGGTCTATGGTGCAGAGCTCATTGCCAATGAGACAACTAAAATCTAAAATCAAAATGAAGTGGATGTAAGTAATTATAGGCAACATTACAGCCTTCAACAATGAGATGAAACCCATACCCTACAGTCTGCTATAAAAGGCCCAAACATGAAAAATATGAAACAAGTCAATTGATTTTTTTTTTTTCAGTTTTATCGATTGAATTGTTTAACATTTGTCTTTTCAAGGCCTTTTATAGCTGAATATATGGTATGGGCTTTGCTCATTGTTGAAGGCCGTACAGTGACCTATAGTTGTTAATTTCTGTGTCATTTGTTCTATTGTGGAGAGTTGTCTCATAGGCAATCATACCGCATCTTCTTTTTAATATAAAAACATAAGATCACTTCAAGAACAAACACAAATGTTGATTTTCTTTCCTTTCACACGTTACCTCAGGTCAAAGTTGAAAATTAAATTCATCATTCATTTTCCACGTTCAATATTGACAGAATAATTTCAGCTACAATTTCATCATGACACAAGGAAAATAACTCTATTTCAATTCTTACTTAAAAATGAACAGCAGTTACTTCCTGTTAATAGCTTAGGGCTATTCAAGAATTAATTTTGTGGGAGTTGGAAGGCAATTTATATTTTATAATTCAGGTAAAGCAGGTTTTTATACACACCAATGCATCCAATTTCTTTAAATTGTATGAGTGGAAGGTCTTTATAAAAATTGCATGGGTGGGGGTGTTGAGAAAAAAGTATCATCCATCGCTCCCATATATATATCTATGAAGCCTCAAGGTGGTCCTTCAGCTGTTTTCTACTCTAAGGTCGGGTTGTTGTCTCTTTGACACATTCCCCATTTCCATTCTCAATTTAATCTAATTCAAAACAGTCATAATTCATTAAATACGAAATCCCTTCTACAATTAACTAGGTTACCAATTACTAAATTATTGATCAAAATAATTTATTTATGTTTAACAATCTCATTAAACAAATATTAGTAAAAAAAAATATGATATCTTTTACATTGAAATCCATAAATAGCTGTAAACAAGAGGCTCCAAAGAGCTTTATCCTTCATCTAAAGTCTGCTTATGACAAGAACTCCCTCTTTTCATTTATATTTATTGGTATTGATTTTTAGTGGATTCAGGGAAACTTGTATTTTTGCGAATGTTTGATTTACTGGTTTTGCTTATCTCTGCATACTTAGCTCACTGAATTTTTTATCATTCATTGAACATTTTAATTTGTGAATCACCTATATTCACTAAACCCATGAAAATTGGTATTCAACGAATAATAATGAATTCACAGTAAAGTAAATACATCATAAAAATAGGAAGATACATTGGAATGATTGCCTATGAGACAACTATCAACCAGTGACCAAATGACAAGCAAAAATCATGTTCTCTGAAAGTAGGTATTGTGATGATTTAAATTTGGTTGAAATTGGCCTATTTGATTGAATGAAAAAATCTTTTAGTACACTATCAAAAATTAAAATCCAACTTAACTACATGTATAAAAATACTGAAATTATTAAAAAAAAAAAATATATATAAAAAATATAATCTTGTGTTTATTTCCCCTTTTTTCTAATCAGGAATATATAGATATTTCAGTAGCAACTAAACCAGAACAGGGACTTATTTTCTTAATTGAATTTTGGTCAAATTTTCTAATTTAGTAGCACCACAGTTTTTATGAATCAATCAATCATAACTATAGAAGGAGATTGAATACAGCTTTTTAATTACCCCAAGTTTGACCTGCACATTCTTCACTGGGGTAAAGCTGATGGCCGTAACTCGATTCACGGTCATCCCAAGATGGCAGACACAGAATTAGTTCAGAATCTATATTGTCTGTTAAAGTGTTTCTACGATATATTCAATATAAAGCACATGTTGGTATGATATAAATTTATAAAAGGTTCACATGGAAATCACAAATTACTACCAAGAAATGTATATGAAACAGGAAAATGGATTTGAAAAAATCGCGAAGATGACCGTCATTCACAATCGAGATGACTGTAACAGTACCAGCCATTCAAAAAAGGGATTACCATAATTGGTAAAAGATGACCGTAATTTATAAAGGAAATAAAGAAAACTGCTAATTCGATTTGAAATTTTCCTTAAATGAATGTTTTAAATAATCAATGATATATATATATATATATATTCTAGGTACTGACGTTGTTTATCATGTTATAGTATTCTTTTACATGTCTTTTTAAATATTAATTTAAATGTTTAATGTATTTTTTGTGATATCCATTTGACATGGCTTGGTACTTGTACATCCCATCATTGTGTTATTGTGCTATGGTAAATTTTTGAATTATTGCTTTCCATTTTTGCTTATGTGCTTTTTCTATATGCCCTTTGTGTTTCTTTGTTACATTTTTGTTTGTTTTTATAGTGATTAAGATTATAACACAATGTTGACTGTTATACCCCAATTTTGACATTTTTATGTCTGTTTGTTTTGTTCACACATGGTTGTCAATATAATGGAATTTTATGCAACTGTTCAATTATTAATGAAAGTGAAACAGTGAAATAATAATTCAGCCAGTTTGGTTCAGTCTAGTCAAAATAAGCAAAGAGACATCATCAGAGGCGGATTTAGAGGGTTTTTCAGGGGGCCCGGGCCCCCCTTTTGTGGGAAAAATTTGGTTGATTATATAGGGAATCACATTGCATGACTGGAGCGGGCCCCCTCTTATGAAAACTTCTGGATCCGCTACTGATCATTAATGAATTATCCACTCATTCTTTAATATACATGCAGGTAAAAGCGATTATTAACATATTGTTTTAACCGATAATATGAAATCACACAGACCTAAAACATCCAATTGCAAGAGTTTGCTATCTAATTATTAATTATATCTTATAAAGTTTATGTTTATATATTAACAGAAAACTACAATCAAACTAATGAAGGTGAGCTCCGGCAAACTATTAACAAATTCATAATTTAGTCTATTAATTAGATCCTTGATTTGGTCTTGTACAAGGAGCATATTACAAGGGGAACCTTGTCAAATTGTATAAAAAGTGTTATTCACACGTCAAGACAAAGTTAGCTTTCAATCTGATTCCTGTTGAAACATACACATAAGCTCAATTAGCGGATATAAGTAAGTTGAATCATATTTTTTTTTTTCAATTTTTGTCGTATCTCTATCAATAAGTCATTGTTTACTAACAATATGCAATTTACTATCTATGTCCTGTACTGAAAATACGACAAAAAGTTAAAAAGACATTGATTAAACATATTTATATCCACTAACCGAGCCCCTGTTGAGACAAACTCAAAATTATATGTTACTCGGATTATGAAATCACAGTCATCCTTGTTATATATTATGGTCATCTTGAAAAAATTATGATGATTAATTACGGTCATCTCAGCAATTTTTTCAAAAAGAAATTTCTGTTTCATATACATTTCTCGTTAGTAATTTGTGATTTCCATGCGAATCTCTTACAAATTTATATCATATCAATGTATGCTTTATATAGAATATCTCATAGAAACACTTAAACAGACTATACCGATTCTGACCTAATTTTGTGTTTGCCATCTTGTGATGACCGTGAATCGAATTACGGTCATCAGCTTTACCCCAGTGTTCTTAGGCAGATAATATCAGCAGTCGGTCATACAGTATTGATGATAAGATCTCTAACGCTTATTTCTATTAGGAATCATCATGACTTGGAAGTCATATTGTGCTAGGGAAACAGACATTAAAACTAGAGGCTCTCAAGAGCCTGTACCGCTCACCTGATTCTACTTTGGTTTTGGAAATCATGTAAAAGGAGTAGGGAGGTCAAAAGATCTGAAATTTAATACTAAAGTACTCGTGAGTACTCAAGTACTCAGATAAATCCTTAACTCTAGTGGATGTGGTATTTTGTTTATTACCTTTCATACACCAAATTATAATACACTAAAATTGCTTGACATCTTAACGAAAGACCTGTCCATTCAGTGCACCTCTAGAAAAAGCATTTGTATGTATTTCCATTAGACTAAGTCCGCTACTGGAGGCCATCTTGGATGATGGTTCGGCTACAAAGCAACAACACTTGGTTAGCACATCAAATAAAAATATTCATACCATGTTTGGTTTCAATCCATTAAGCAGTTTTCAAGAATAAGATATTTGTATATATTTTCACATATGGTCCTTTGTTGACCTAAGTCCCCCTTTGGCAGCCATCTTGGTTGATGGATTTGTACAAAGTAACAACACTTGGTCAGCACCTTATTAGGAACATTCATGCTATGTTTGGTTTCATTCCATTCAGTAGTTTACTTGAAGAAGACAATTGTATGTATTGTCCATAGGGTTCTATGTTAAACAAAGTCCCCCGTTGGCAGCCATCGTGGATGATGGATCTGCTTCAAAGTAACAACATTTGGTCAGCACCCTATAAGGAACATTCATTCCATGTTTGGTTTCATTCCATTCAGTGGTTCTCTAAAAGAAAACTTTTCTATGTATTTCCCATAGGGTCCTACGTGAAACTAAGTCCCCGCTGGCGGCTATCTTGGATGATTTATCGCCTACAAAGTTACAACACTTTGTCAGCACCTCAAAAGAATCATTCATGCCATGTTTGGTTTCAATTCATTAGGTCGGTTTTCTAGAAGAATACATTTGTATACATTTCCCATAGGGTCCTTTGTTAAACTAAGTTCCCCGTCGGCAGCCATCTTGGTTGATGGAATCGCTTCAAAGTAACAACACTTGGTCAGCACCTCATAAGGAACTTGCCATATTTGGTTTCATTCCATTTAGTGGTTCTCTAAAAGAAGACATTCATATGCATTGTCCATAGGGTTCTACGTTAAAAGAAGTCCCCCACTGGCAGCCATCTTGGATGATGGATCAGCTTCAAAGTAACAACACTTGGCCAGCACCTCAAAAGGTTCCTTACCATTCAATGGTTCTCTAAAAGACGACATTTGTATGTATTGTCCATAGGGTCCTACATATGTTAAAGGCAGTCCCCTCCTGGTGGCCATCTTGGATGATGGATCTGCTTCAAAGTAACAACACTTGGTCAGCACTTCATAAGAAACATTATGCCATGTTTAGTTACATACCATTCAGTGGTTTTTTAGAAGAAGTTCAAAATGTAAAAAGTTAAAGACGACAACGGATGACAACAGCCAACGACCTTGGGCCAGGTGAGCTCAACAGAATGCCTACACCACAAAACTTTGCCTTTATCAGATATTTAAATTTTATAAGTCTGCATGATTGCCATTCTAGAAAGACTTTAATTGCAAAATCATTAGAGAGGTTTAAAATCCATTACAGAATAAAGGCTTGTATAGTCCACAGTTTTATTCTCCAAAATTGAACCTGCCAGACAGGGGTGCGGACTATAGAGTACGATAAGCAAGAAATAAGAGAAAAAAATCGATTTCACGAGGTAATTTGTTTATGTCCCGCCATTTTTGTTGTTAAAATTGAAGAGAGTGCTCTTATCGTTTTCAAAACTAACAATTTCACCTAATCCAAATTAATATGTTATTTTCATTCAATTTCAAATATATACTGATAAATTTAAAAAGTAAATGCTTCACTACAAATTTCATGTTTCTTTTCACTGCATTGCTTAAAATAAACTGGAATCTGCTTGAATTAAACGGAACAAAAAAGTGTAGAAGTCAACTGGGAATCAGCTTACGATGTATAAACTACAAAACATAATCAGTTATTTGTTCCGTTTTGGTGTTTCATACTGATGCATGTGTTTTGTATTAGCTTAAGATCCTTCAAACATTAAGGTGATAGATATAAGAAGAAGTGGTATGCATGCCAATATTAAACATTGTTTTACACGAGGATGGAACTGTTTTACTTTCAAAGTCGTATTCTAGTGATATCTATTAAATACAGCTATTCGTACACTCTCACCGTATTTATTTTCTTTTACACATGCTATTCAAACGTCTGGTTTAAACATACACAAGTTTCTAAATTGTTTTTTGTGTTATTTTGACTTATTTTAACACTCATGAAGTGTTCTAGAATCATTTACAAGCAGTTTCAACTTCTATTTGATGATGAAAAACGTTCCCATGAAAATACAGCAAACTACCACACCAATTTGTAATTACCAAATAACCACATACCAATTATTGGTTTCAAATCAACGATATTGATACTAGATTCATTGGAACCAGTTGCTATCAGGTTCTTGTATGGTGAACCCGCACTGGAGGTCGTTGTGTACAGTGGATGCCAGACAATAGCATTGATCAACTTCTTATGAACATGAACAGTTCCTCTCAGTTTGAGGTTTGGAAGATCCAGAATTTCTATGGACCTGAAAATAGATAAACAAAATGTAAATATATTAATTTGAACTGTTGTTTTTATCACAAAAATGATACTTTATACCTAATGGAACTCGTAAAGAGTTATCTAGAATTTTCAAAGATTTTTTAAATAATACAAAAAACAGCTCAAGGCAGAATTTTACATCTGATACAATGATCATGATGATATTTACATTATACAAATTTGTTAAAACATTTTCCAAGCTTTTTTAGCTAAAATTTCAGGCCCAACCAAAGAATTAGTAACCTGACCAACTAGGACTTTCATACACTTTTTTTCTTTGCTGTCCAGTCTTTTATACTTTTCCAAAACATAAGGCTTGTGGTGACCTTAAGCCAATTTTAGAATGGTTCCTGCATGCTCAACAAACTATAATTGCTGTGCTCAGTGTTTCAAATTTTTACATTTTATGAACTGTAAAAATAAAATTTACATATAAATGACCAGCATTGATAGTTTAAGACTGAACTGTTTTTTGTACAATGGTTGAAATATCCTTTCAAGTATGCAGAGAAATGGAAAATTCACAATGTGAAAATTGAAATACACTCTTAGTAATTTTTCAACCGACCATTTCTGTCAATGTTTAAGGATAATAGAAGTTTCTTTTGTTCTTCGTAAGAAGCTCCTGTTTAAAGTATACCCCTTAAGAATAAAGGAACAAGTTGATACAAAGATCACAGTTGGTTCCAATAGGACTGACGAATGCTATTTGTAGACATGTCCCCTACATGTATTAAATGTTGGCAACAAAAAAATCAGGTATCTTATTGTTTTCTGGTCTAAAGAATTTTTGCTGCAATCAAGGCGAAAATAAAAAACATGTTTGTTTCCCCTCTCCCTGACCGGGTCAAAAAATTATTTGACCCAAAAAAAATCGGAATTTTTTTTATTTCCGAAATTTATTAGTTTCCATTTCGTCATTGGTTCTGATAGTACCGGAAGTCTTCTCGGAACTCTCTGGAGTTATCTATCAATTAAGCAGTGTGTATCGAGGGTAAACTGTCTGCTTGAAAGTTGGGCGACAAGATCGCATTGTCGTTTTCTGTACGAATTAAGTACAAGGACACGTCTAAAGTGTTACCCACCGGCAGGAACAAAAGGGAATCCTGACTTTTGTCAGATATAATCATGTAACATGTGCTTCACCACATGTCATGGATGCTATTTAATTTTGATTATAACTTCTATCATTCCTATCATGGTCCTATATTTCAGTTTTGTGGTACTTTAATTTTCGGTAAAATTGTGACTTGTTAAATTGTATTTGTATTGTATAAAAATTACAGGTGATATGTTGATAGTTACAACAGGTGATTGATTTACCTGATGAAGGTTACCTGTTGCAGATGGGATTTAATCAATCAATTAGAACTTGTTACTTGTTTCTTTTGTGATTTAATTAATTTATGACTCCTGACAACAATTTTATGGCTTCACTCACTACCCTAGCGTTGACAAGTGATGCAATCGAAAATTTTAATTTGGACATTTACAATGCCGATACGGCAATAGTTGTACACATGCCGAAAAATTGTTTATACTTGATAAAAGATTAACTGTTGGTCCATTAAATAATTATAATTGACAATTATGCATATTTTTATTATCTATAAAGCAATGTGTCCAAGCTAGTATATCATATATCCTATCTCTTTTAATGAGTCTTCCTTCTCTCTTTTACAACAAACAACTTTCATTTTGACCGCTGGTTTACCTCCAGTGTGGCAGTTGATTTAATAAGTTTTATACACCAGCCACACTTACTTTGGACAATCATTGTTTTTGGTACTTTTGAAAAGGTTTTGTATTTTCGCAAAAAGGTATGATGAGTATTTTTTAAACAGCAAAAACAGCATTTTCATTATAAATCCCAAAAGAGTTACTCCTATTTTTGCTTATTTTGAAATTCCCATGTTAAAAATATATTTACTCTTAGGATTATTTATAAGTAAACAAATAATTGCCATAAACTATAAAATGGAATGTAAGGTTATATCTTCAATACTCCCAATAAAATCAAACCAGTATTTGTATTCATTCAGTGTATCAACTTACCAGACCTATTATAACCGACCGTGCAAGACCCTCATGGGTAGTTAAGAACATTAAAAACCACCCTCGTCGTCAGACCTACAGAGGAAAACCCTCATGTGTAGTCAAAGTCTTTAAAAATTATTCTCGTCGTCCAGACATTTTCAGCTAGACAAGTTCGTTGAAACCAGACTAGTGTTATAAGTACATGTAGAAATAAAAATTGACAATTCTCTTCATGCTTATTACTGAATGGGGAATATAATTTCTTTCACTGCAATAGTGTCAACAAAAGAATAGAAAAACTCCAATAGATATAAAACATAATCAAAAAATAAATGTGGATAGTGTCCACATGTGGACACAGATGATGCCCACGCTTGCATATCATATAGTTATAAAGGGACATAACTGAAGAACGGTAAAAGTGATGCTACCCAAATTTGAACTTGATCTGAGTTTTGTGGTAATAAGCATTGTGTGTAAGTCTCATAACATTTGGTTGAGGCTAACTTGAGGGGCCTGATGGGTTATTTTCGTTCTTCATGATCAGCGCATTTTCGCTATCGTGATCCATTTTTCTACAGATTTATTTTTTTTTATATTTTCGTGATCCGTGATCATGGAAATTTATTTTCTGTGAATCGTGAATGTCAAAAAAATCAACTCATGAATCGTAATGAGACCCCCCCCATCAGGCCCCTCTAACTTAAGTAGAGAACAGAAACTAAAAATTCAGCAATTTTTCTATTTGTAAACACGCATAACTCTAGAATGGTTGTGTATAAGTTTTATAACATTTGGTTGAGACAAACTAAAAAATTCAGCACTTTTTATGTTTATAAAGGGACATAACTCAAGAATGGTAAAAGTGTCACCACAAAATTTCGTACATAATCTGTATTATATAGTAATAAGCATTGTGTATAAGTTTCATAACATTTGGTTGAGGCAAACTAAAGTTAGAAAACAGATACAAAAAATTTGTACTTGATCTTAGTTATGTGGTAATGAATATTGTGAATAGGTTTCATAATGTTGGGTTAGGGCAAACTTAAGTTACAGAATGGAAACTAAACATTTTGCAATCTTTGGATTTATAAAGGGGCATAACTCAATAATGGTTAAAGTGACACTACCCAAATTCAACTGATCTGTGTTCTATCAGTGGAAGTCAAAATTAAACATTGCATTGATTGTTGTTGATTCAACTATAATCATGGACAAAGGAAGATAACTCCAATTTTAAAATAACTTGATATTTCAAAGAAAAAAATAAAAATTTTGCAATTTTTCCATTTATCAAGGGGCATAACTCTAGAACGGTTAATGTGACACCACCAAAATTCAAACTTGATCTGTGTTTTGTGGTAATAAGCATTGTGTATAAGTTTCATAACATTTGGTTGAGGCAAATTTAAGTTAGAGAACGGAAACTAAATATTTTGCAATTTTTCCATTTATAAAGGGGCATAACTCTAGAACGGTTAAAGTGACGCCACCAAAATTCAAACTTGATCTGTGTTTTGTGGTAATAAGCATTGTGTATAAGTTTCATAACATTTGGTTGAGGCAAACTTAAGTTAAAGAACGGAAACTAAAAGTTTTGCAATTTTTCCATTTATAAAGGGGCATAACTCTAGAGCTGTTAAAGTGACGCCATCAAAATTCAAACTTGATCTGTGTTTTGCGGTAATAAGCATTGTGTGTAAGTTTCATAACATTTGGTTGAGGCAAACTTAAGTAAGAGGACGGAAACCAAAAATTTTGTAATTTTTCCATTTATAAAGGGGCATAACTCTAGAACAGTTAAAGTGACGCCACCAAAATTCAAACTTGATCTGTAGTTTGTGGTAATAAGCATTGTGTATATGTTTCATAACATTTGGTTGAAGCAAACTCAAGTTAAAGAACGGAAACCAGTTTTGGGACGTACGGACGGACATACATACATACAGACGGACAAGGGTAAAACTTAATGCCCCAACCGCTACGGCGGGGGCATAAAAAGAAAGAACCCTATGATAACTAACCTTAAGGCGTATAGATGAAAAAGAGTTGCAACACGATGCATATTATTATCGATGCAAATAACTTTGTCGGTGCTATTTACAAATCCTGGAGAGAACACTGTGAATACAAATATAAATATGGGATATAATTTCATTTATAATACAAATAAAGACACAAACTATGGATGATAGATATTTATTCACATAAATATTTCAGGACATTTGATTTATTTAAAAACAAATTTAAATATAAGTTTAAAAAACTGAAAAACAAATATGAGCATTCCATATAAAAATAAGGAGATGTGGAATGATTGCCAATAAGGCCAGAGAACACAGTTATTTCGTAGTGCATTTCTTTTAGACAATAAATTCAAATTAAAAAAATCGCACCTGCTCTATCTCAAAAAGATTTTTACAGTGTAGTGTACTACTATTGATACAAATAATATCAAAATTATAGAAACTTCTACCAGCTCTAACTCAAAATATTGACAATTCTGTGTTAAGGGGGGCTAAAATTAAGTTTTACAGCTTCAGACATTCTAATTTTTGACCTTTTTTAATTGGACCAAATCACTACTAAACATAAAGATTCAGCACCCAAATTTTTTTAACATGTAATTTCATCCCCTTACTTAATATTTCATGCATAAAATATCAAGAAATAAATTGGGAAAGTGTATAAAAAAAAAATGCAAGTTAAACACTGTTCACACTAGGGACTATATTTGTAGACAATGAAAACCAAAGGACGATAACTGTGTCCTTGGACCATAAGACAATTCTCCGCCAAAAATTCAAATGAAGTGGATGTAAGCAACTATAGGCAACAGTATGGCTGTCAGATAAGTTTTTTACACAAACATTGCAGTGATGTACTTGATAAAAATCACTCCAACCCGTTTATATATAGCAGTGGTCAGGTCTTTTAACATCT